ATGATTTTTTTTTAAAGGATTCGGGTATTAAACAGGACTATTTTGGGAGCGGTGCAGGAATTAGGCTTTGTGGTAGTCGCAAGTTCCCTTTGTGAGCAAGCAAAGCTGGGAAGGCCCTAAATTTCCTGAATGCTGCCCCAAGCTGCCCGAAATCCTGGAAGATTGTCCTAGGCACATTTCCGCTTGTAATCCTAAAATTTAGTAGGATGAGCTCTTCAAAAGCCCTGGCAACTGCCCAAATCCCAGAATATCTTCTCAGAAGAGAGGCTCTGAAAAGCCCAAAATCCTAGAAGATTGTCCTACATATGTTGCCGCTGGGAATCCTAAAAGTTAGTGGGATGAGTCCTTCAAAAGGCTTGGTAATTGCCCCAAAGCTGCCCCAAATCCCAGAATATCGTCCAAGGCTCTGAAAAGCCCGATATCCTAGAAGATCGCTAGAAGATTGATCTAGGCACGTTTACGTTGAAAATTTTAAAATTTAAAGGGATAAATATTTCAAAAGCCCTGGCAATTGCCCCAAAACTGCTCCAAATCCCAGAATACCGTCCCAGAGAGGTCTTGAAAAGCCCGAAATCCTGGAATATTATCCTAAGCACGTTTCCGCTGGAACCTTTGAAAGCTGCCCCAAACTGCCCGAAAGCCCTTCAAAAGGCCTGGCAATTGCCCCAAAGCTGCCCCAAATCTCAGAATACCGTCCCAGATAAGCCCTGAAAAATCCGAAATCCTAGATCATTATCCTAGGCACGTTGGCGCTAGAACCCTTAAAACTGCCCAAAACTGCTCGAAAGCCCCTCCAAAGCCTTGGCAACTGCCGCCCCAAATCCGTCCCATAAAAGCCTTGAAAAGCCTGAATTCCTAGAATATTATCCTAGGTATATTTCCGCTGAAAAACCCTTGAAAGCGGCCCAAAAGTGCCCGAAAGCCCTTCAAAAGCTTTGGTAATTGCCCCAAAGCTGCCCCAAATCCCAGAATACCGTCCCAGAGAAGCCCGAAATCTTAGATCATTGTCCTAGGTACGTTTCCTCTGGAACCCTTGCCTCCCAGACTAGCCGAAAACCCTTCAAGAGCCCGCTCCCAAATCGTCCCAGAAAGACACTGAAAAGCCTAAATTCCTAGATTATTGTCCTAGGCACGTTTCCGCTCCCTATAATCTCCATTAGAGTTACGTGTTTTGGTTTTGATTTAAGCATTTCTGAATAGTAAAAGGATCCTAATATACTAATCAAAAACGAACTACAATGGTGACTACAAGTTGAAACGAATTTGCGATTTAGATTTGAATAATTTTAGGCAACTTGCAAGGGTTCCAGCAAAAACGTGCCTAAGATAATATTCTAGGAATTCGGGCCTTTCAAGGCCTCTCTAGGACGAAATTCTAGGATTTAGGGCAATTACCAACGCTTTTGAAGGGCTTTCGATTACCAACGCTTTTGAAGGGCTTTCGGGCAGCTTTCAAGAGTTCCAGCGGAAACGTGCGTAGGATAATATTCTAGGATGCCGACCAATCTATGCAAGATCATATCAATCTTAAACACTGTATAACACCCATTCGAACAATAAAACCCTTATCCTCTTCGCTATTTCCACTACCAGAATCGTCTATTTTCTCGACTTCCGACCCGATATATTCCCCAAGACACCAACAAAATTCAGACCTTATAACTCCATATCATCGATTTCTTCAACTACTGAAGAAGTCGACGAACCAAGAAACACTCGCTATCAAACAACATCGGTTTTGATGGTTGAGTAGTTGGGGGGCAGGCTTCGACGGTTAGCCGGTCGGGGAGTTGTTGGATTGGATTGGGCAAGATAAGATAAATAGGGAGAGGGGTAGGGTTAGATTCTCCGACAGGTTGCGAGGTTAGGAGGCACACTACGCGCACGGCACGCAAAATACCGCGCACACTCCTTTAGAAGGCTCTAGAAAGATCATCAATTCGTTGATCACTATCCATCATGCGGGGTGAGCTTCAAGCTCCATAGCAACATTCCCAAATATCTTATGCCAAGCAGATTTTATTTTGCCTAAAGACTCTAACAGACATCACATCATTCATGAAATATATCAAATATTCGGACAGTGCAAAAGTATTCTATAATATTCGCTATCGAGGTAACTTACAATCAACTTTTAGAAAAGATACAGGTGGGTTATGATGTTGCCGCAGGTTTGCGGTGGTGCTCAAGTATGCTAATTATGACACATACATATACACATATATATTTTTATGTAGAATTTGACATGTTTGAGATCTAGCGTAACTAATTTCACGATATTCCAGACCTAATGCTATTTGTCATAGTATAGTGGTGGGAGTAGTATTCGTCATATAAACTATAGTAGTTGTTGTCATCGTCGTTGAAGGCCTTCATCATTGTTGTGGTTGTACATATACTAGTATAGTGTTCATTGTGGCTCGAGCCATGTCATCGACACCTTGGCCTTTTTCGCCAAATGCAGCCCACTGGAGCTGGTGCGCTACCTTAAGCCTGACATGCCAGAAGAAAGTTCTTTCAGCAAAAACTCTCCGATCAGCACGCTTGGCAAGGCGCTTGAGGGGCTCGATGCCCTTGAATTTCCTCCGACCCGAGACCTGTTCCTGTGCAATAGCACGGACGGCGCTGTTGCTGTTCTGGAACGCGGCGCGGATCTTCAAGCGCTCAGCTTAGATTAGGGTTTTGCGCAAGCGCAGGACAGGCACCACGGTGCCGTCTTCACTCGGTTGCGACAAGTCTTCGATAAACTCATAGCCGCAAGCTTCATAGAGCGGTCGACCTGCCGCTGTGGATCCCATTTCCATCGTCTTGAAGCCTTCGGCCCGGGCAGCGCTTTCGCCGGCTTCCAAGATGAAGCGCCCAATCCCTCGCCGGGCATAGTCGGGATGGGTGAACATGGCGCGAATCTTGGCCGGTTCGGTCGCCGGATCGGCCAAAGCGTCGTCGCGTCCACGGGTGTGATTGCCGCCATACAGCGTGCGCCGCCGTGACCAGCCCCCACAACCTGCCAGCATGTCATCGATGTAGACCAGGAAATAAGTGCCATCATCAACGAGCATTGTGTCGACCCCCATGCTTTCACCAGATCGTTCGACTTGTTTTGCGTCGAGGAATTTCGGCAACAGGACTTTCATCGACGCCGTCATCAACGCCTGGATCGCCGGAATATCCTCTCGGGTTGCAATTCGAAGGTGCATGTTCCAACGTTTGCCTGAACTTGTGTCAGGGGGGAAAACGCAGGATGCCCTGTGATGAGACAACGATGCGCGCTATGCTAAGCACTATGCTGTTTCCGCGATCCCAAACCCTTGCACACGAATCCTGAAGCCCCAAACACTACTGCTACTGCTGCTACGATGACTAAATCCTTGTGGTGCCTGTCCAAGCTGTTCTAGAGTTCGCTGCCGCTTGAGGTCACAGCGTGAGCGATGCCCGGAAAATGCAAGATTCGTGCAAAATGCAGTCGGCTCAGGGTGCCAGGAAATGTGGCTACAGCTTAAATCAGCTGCAATCCATATGGTTAGCTCGTCGGCATGTTGGGAAGCTTGTTACATCCGCTTCTGGTCCTCAAGAGGTACTTTTGGGAGCCGATAAACAACAAACAAGATAAACTGCACCCGAAGCTCGAAACTTTAACCACCGGCCTACATCCTAAACCTTGGGTGCCAAGAGGCCCTTCGCTGGGTCTTCCTTCAAGTTCCTACATGAGGTGTTCAAAACTCAGGACCTAAAGCGCATGAACTCGTACCAGAGGCTTTCAATGTTCATTCATGCGAACGACATGAAGTTGTGCTAACCAAATTTCATGCAATGTCGAGTGCAGCAGCAGAATGGATGCCCGTCTCAATTTTCAGGTCGCCATGGCTCACATCGCTTCGCTGCCGAAAGCGTTGTCCTTCTTGTCCATACCTGGCACGCTGCTTCTTGCAAAATTCAGATCTGTGCTGGTTTGACAATGAGATCTTCGAACAGTGGAGACAGCCGAAAGCTGCTAGTTTTGTGAACGACAGAACATCCAATCTCCTACCCCAGAATCCCAGTGACATCCGCATTAAACCATGAAATTCGACATTCCGCAATTAAAGAGCGAAAGCTGCGGAGCAGTTTTTAACCGAGGCTTTGTTTAGTTTGGCCTCTCCGGGTCACTTCCGGAGTCTGATGTCTGGTTTCTCCCACGGAAGGTTCTGGCCTTCAGGAATTAAGGTCAGCATTCGAGAAGATAAGAGAAGATGAGAGCACGCCTTGTCCTGTCTTCGTTTTAAACTCGCAGAGCGACCACTGAGGATTGTGTGCCAAAAGTATCTATACGGCATATGAGGCTTAAATAGGACATCCTGAACCAGTCAGTGTGGGAGAAGCCGTCGGCCCTGTGTCTCACGTGAGACGCACCAAGGGTTGGCTCTGCGGTGGATATGCAATGCTTCCGTTCATACCTTGCGTTCAAACGAAACAAGGATACGGAAGCGTAGAACAAGCTTGAAGCTTCAGATCAGATCCACTGCCCGCCAGGATCTTGGAGCATGAGCGCCCAAGGCTGTTCGAAGCGCGGGTGATAACTGCACCCCGGCTGTTGCCAGAGGTTAGTAGGGAACCACACAGGAATAGAAACAACATCGTGGACGATACACTAAAAATTGGGGATTGTGGAGCTAGCTTTTGGAGCATGTGTATGTTGGGAGCGGTCGATTTTGTGTTAAATGGAGAAGCGGAGTACACATGTAGGCCGCAAAACTCTTCAGCTGCGGTTACCAGTCTGGCTGTGAGTTTCTGGAGCTGAGGTTGAGAAGGCTGTCAACCAAAGCCTTTCATCGTCCCCAAATCAGAAAGCCAAACCCTTCCTGCTTACAACTGCCAGGCGCATGTTGGCGTAGGCTGCAGCAATTCTTCGTTTACGTCTACGTAGAGATGTAAGGCAATGCCATCCTGGAGCGGAAACGCCAAGCAGCAGCCTTGCAACTTGCTTGCATTGCTTACGAATTGCGGGCGGCTAGGGCCCTGCTCTAATCTCGATCCACCGGCGCTATGGAAGTCCACAGTCCCAGGTTTGTCAATCGTTGGTGGTAGTCTTCGGCTGCCTGCACGGAGCAGCGAAGAAGCCGCATGGACCCTTTCAACACATCGCTGTATCGACAATCTCATGCATCTGTGCTCTCAAGGCGTTTGGGTCCTTGAATCGCCAGCTGGCTTCGTGGATCAGGTGCGTACGGCAGTCAAAGGTCCGCAAGTTAAGTGAAATCCTAGACATTGGATGTTATTGCATCTGTTACACCCCTGGCCCGTGCCTTCTTGAAGGAGTTGATGACCTCGACAGCTGAGTCTGGATGATAGTTATTTTTGGACCTAAACAGGGACCCTAATCTCACGGAACTACCGCAAAGCCCCTTGAATCTCACGAAGGGAAGCCGACACTTCGTCAAATTCCAACCATTTTCAAGGGTCCGTCGTGTTACATGCGATTTCTTGAAAAGAAGCTGATCCGCAAACCCGACCTCAATCAGTTCGGAAGGGCACCTGGGCCTGTGTGCGCTGGGTCAAGCAAAGCCCTAAAGTCGCATCCTCATGCAGAATTTCAGATGGCCCGCCATCCCTGCAGAAGTCTTGTCCTGTACCAAGCCGCGCACAGCACTAGGAAATAGCCCTGACGATGCACAACTCGGGGTTCGGCCACAGCTGTTCCGACTGGATTTGCCATGGCGCTTGCCTTTGTCGGGGCGTTTTGGCGGAACGACTTCAGGCGCTGGCCATGTGGCCGGGTGTTTTGCTTGCTGTATCGCTACGGATTCAAACAAGCCAGTGCCAGGCCAGGAGTGAGAGGGCGTGGCATGCCCGGACCAATTTGAAGGGTCCGGGGCATAGGGCTCAGTGACATGTTGTGAAGACTGAGATTCGATTTGGACCGTTCACACGAACAGTTTGGATAAGACTGAATCTAAGAAAGGGCCAAGAGCTGCAAGTATGGAAGGTCGCCACAGCCAGTCTGTTTCTTCTTTCGCTTTCTGCATCTCGGCATTCAGCTTTAGAGGAAATCATCGATTCCCAGCTCCCTTTCCCCAAGCCCCCCAGATACGGAAAACTCCGGAGCAGAGCTGAGGCATCCGCGAAGAGGCGGCTCGAGACTTCGTAGGCTTTGCCGCGGGTCAGCAAAGGGACACCCTCTGACAGCACCTGGGCCCGGGCTTTGGAAGAGCTCCCCAAGGCGACAAAACCATTCTGTATCGAGCATTCGCGCAGCCCAGGTCACAAGTCTTGGGCGCTTTCTTCTGGTTCGAGACTTGGGACGGCTTCGTTTCTTTCTGTTTGGTTTTCGGACTTGGGTTCCCTTGGATCGCAAAAGGCCGCTTGCGCTGGTCCAGCTACAAGGCTCGAAGGTCGTAAAGGCTCAAACTTATGGAGGTTCTTGGTGACTCTGCCGAGGCTCGCTTAATTTCACGATTGCAAAAGAAGCTCACTCGGCTTTTTTGGGCATCCCCAAAACGACTCGACATTGGCTGAGCCCGGGATACTCTCATCAACAACGTCCTTCAAACTCTCAAACTGGGTCGTTATGATAGGTACACTATCAGGTCACTATCATATACGCAAACTTCTATGTTGACGATGTTGACGAAGACTTCGCCTCACTCGCCCCAACACCGAGCTGCCCACAAACAACCGGGAGCCACGCACCTAAGTAAAACCCTACGCAACCCGATGATGCACCGGAGGAAGCCAAACCGTGACGCTAGCCTGACTCTTACAACTTCCACGCCCGCCCTGAACTCTGCTCCAAGCCGAATTCAAGCTTCTGTTGCTGCCTGACCTTAAGCCCCTAGGCTTAGGGGCTTGGGGGCAAGTCCGCGGCCTGGCCCTGAGCTCCTGACCTCAGCGTACTGCTCCAGCGTCAAGGCGCACTTCCCGTCCTCCAAAAGGATGCCAAGGGCTGGGATCGAAGAGGGATTACGGCGTTATGGAATTCGAGCTTCCGAGCTGTGGTGGAGCGGAGAGAGAAGAGCAGGCTAATGGGAGACTAACTTGCCATGGCGCCGTCCGCGACAGTTGCCCATCTCTCATTGGAGAGCGACCAGGCTGCGATTTCGGTTTTGGTCTGGTCTGTCCGGCACAGCAGGAGGCTACCGCCGCGTGCAAGCAAGAGGCTGAGGATTCAGGCAGTAGGGTCGCAGCATGCAAGCCCCAAGCCTGGAAGCCTGAACTTTGAATGATGTGATGACTGGGCCCAGGTTCTTGCAAGGTTGTAGCCCCAGAAATGCTCTCCTTCGATCGAATCCCGGAGCCGGGCTGCACGCCATCCTGGAGCTAAGCACAGTCCGAGGGAGACTGACTTGTTTGGGTCTTGTTGCTTTCGGTGGTTGAGCCTGAAAACTTGCCTGAGACACTCCTCCATCCGCTTGAGAGGTCTAGCGGAGTACTGTTTCGTAGCGTTTCGGGGCTAAGTCTCGCGTTTTCCAACCACTCAAAGCCGCAAAGCGGCGTTAGGGATTTTGAAACGTCGAAATATGCGAAGAACCCAAGCAGCACTACTAGTTCATGGCTGGGATAGGATGACAAGTGTATATTTTGGTCCTTATTTGGCTCAAGTACCCATAAAAACGCAAAATGTTGACCAGCAATGACACCGACTATTGCATCCAGATGAACCCGATTTGCCAAACCACAGAGGCCGAAACCCTGAAGCCCACAATGGGAACTCTGCTCTGCACTTAATCACGGGACAAAAACCTACAAGGGCAAAAGGGTAATACTCAGGAACCGAGTTGTTGAGCAAGACCAGACAGAACCTACTCTGTACACTGAGCACCCCAGATGCAAAACTCCCGAAAAAGCTTAAACACGGCAACGACGAGGGACCTTCAGGCATGTGCAGATGACTCGTCGAAGTCCAGGAATCTTACACCACCTCAGCATTGGTTCACCACGTACATACACACGTTATACCATCACAGGCCACGGTGAGCCCAGCAAGGTTTTAGTTTGTGGGCATTCAACGCTGGAACTTGGGGACGCTGGGTTTCTTTCGCAAGAGGCCTGCGTGTCTCGTTTTGAGAGGTGTCTTCACGGATACTGCCGTCGCTCGACTACCTGAAAAACACAAAATATACAGCCCTTGAACGCAAAATTGAGGTCTACCGTCGGAGGGACCACGTAGTGAACTAGTCCTTCTGAACTGAACTACCGGCGGAGGTACTACGGCTTGAAACGAAGGAAAGACGAGGACTGAAGCTCTGGAGGAGCTCTTATGTGCGGGCCTATGTGCAAAGGCCTGCAAGGGGGTCTTGCATCTATCACTTCCAGCAAGGTCTCCCGGCGGCATCTTGCAATTCCGGATGGGCGCGTGCACTAAGACCACCCAACTGTCCTCGTGTGATGCAACGCCGAAAAATGACACTCAATGGGTGTCTTAGGTCGTACTTGACACAAGGATTTGGAGTGGGGCCCAAACCGAGGCAGGCATCGTCCAAAGTATACCCCACCTCCTGCTCCGATTCCTAGGAACATGTAACTGCATATTCACGAAGGGTCGATGCAGCATGACCTCCCATATGACGGAAGAGGTTTCGCTATCCTGCGAAGAACTTGCTCTGGTCTCTTGAACGGCATGCACAGCTTTACATATTTGCAGGAGGTTTTCCTGCGGGGCGGAACAGATGCTCGACTATTCCAGACTTCAGTTCATGCCGATCTATCTACTTGCATGTTCGCAGGTAGTTGCAGGCGATGCTTTTTGCGTGGTTTGGTTCGGCATCGTGGCGATCGGTGGGCATAGAGTGATGTGTAGGGTCTCTAAGAAAACCACAGCTCCTAGTCGCAACCTCTCGAAAACCCTGTAGGTACCTCCACAAGTTTTTCAGCTGTCGTTAGCCTTCGCCCGTCCCCCGTCCCTCGTCCTTGGAGGTCTCGGTTTCTTCCTCCTCCTCCGCCTTCTTTCCGACCCTGAGGCGACCAAGGAGTGCGAGGTGGGGGGATTCAGGATTGATGGTGAGGTTCAAGGCAGAGCTTTGGTTTGTCATTTTTTTAATTTCGGGGTTTGGGACTGCAGGGTCGCTGGCTTCGGAGCCTTTTGATTCGGGGCTCTGTGTGCAGAGAATTAGGAAATGGGTCGAGTGGATTCACTTCTTGAGAGACATCGGAAAGCGTCGTTAGGGTGTGGGTCGGGCATGCGACTTTCAAGGGAACTCGAACTTCGTACCAAAGCCTAGCCGTGGCCAAAGAAGCCTCAAGGCAAGAGATGAAAATGTGAAGGACAGCAGCGATATCGGTATCGACAGAAAAAACACGGTGACCACGACAGGAATTCCTTCTCTGCTGAGCACTGCGGCTTCTTCTTCTGAATGATGTCGAGGTCCAAGTCTGTTGCTGCCGCCGCCTCAGTGGTGAAAACTTTCAGAACCAAGCCTCAAAGTATCGAGGTTAAGCACGACACACAGTACCGGCAGATACATCTGGGCTTCCGGCGCGACGTGCAACGCCTTCCAAGCTGGAGAGAAACTTGGGAAGTAAAAGGTGGAGTCCATTTGTCAGCAGGACAACTACCCTGGCCAACTCCAGCACTGCCACAGCCACAACTCGCCAGAGCTAACGCAGTGGTGAAATGCACAAATGTGCAGCCCGACGTGATGGACCTCGACGCCCTCTGCACGAAGCTGCAACAGCCGCAGTGGCTATGAGAGCTCGCGACATCGGCCTTGGCGGCACCGAAGTGAATCTCAGTTCCTGGTTCCAGACTTTGCAGACTTGGAGGTTCATGGGTAGTTATAAGTAGGGTTGTAAGTTCCTAATATGGGTTATAAGTATAGTTACCCTACTTTATACCCAAACTAATAACTACCCGTGAACCTCCAAGTAGTGTTAATAAGGGAAAATATAAATTACCCTAAACCCTAAACCGTGAAAAATGAAAAATATCCCAAAGGCCTACGTAGGGGAATTCTCTGGGAATGATTCTGGAGCCACTGGAGCCATGCTTTCATTTTCTATGCAGTAATCACGTTACCCTGCCCTGACTAGAGGCAGTGACATACATGCATATGTATATATATATATATATCCCTCATATCTAGATTCGAATATTTCGGTTTCTGCTCTTTAGCCACCAGCACAGCTTCGACCATCTCTCGAAAGCCGGGTGCCCGAGCAGAGAGCTTGAAGCAGGGAGTTCAGGAGAGCTGGCGCGAGCCGTGGGACCTCGTTGAAAGCTTTAGGTAGTATAGGAGCCTTGGCAACTAAAAATACTGTTTTAGGGGTTCCTGATTGCAAATATAGTATACTGGGCCCCGTTCGAGGATTCTTGATCTCTGAGGCCCTTGAGAAGAAGCACATCAAAACTGTCTCGGATTAGGAAAGATCATACAACGGAAAAGCGCAGTGCCCGCTATGAGCCATCCCGAGCATGAGCCAACATCCCAGGCTTTGAGCTGTGTCAAGATCTGAAACCGAACGGCACAACAATACAACATGCGCAATAATGTTCATAATAGTTTATGGCAACAGTAATAAGTGCAATGATACGTAAAACAAAAACGCACGGGCCCTGAACGTCGAACCCGCAATCCTGACTCCAGATCTAAGGCCCCCCACCCAGGCCAGATCGAGGCAGCGTGGCCTCGGCCCGCCATGCCTTTCTTGGAGCTTCATGGGTAGTTATAAGTAAGGGCATAAGTCCCCTAATATGGGTTATAGGTAGAAGCCCCCTAGTATGGGTTATAAGTATACTTACCCTAGTTATAACTCTACTTGTAACTACCCATGAACCTCCAAGTTCGAATGGACCAAGGAAGCACTCCGAACAAACTCGAGGGATGGACCGGAAACTCGTAAATCCCAGACCCTACAGCTCGAACTCAACCTAAACAGCGGATCCTGTACAAACTGCAACCCATTTGAGATTTCTAGGTGGCTCGTTTCAGATGCAACGTTGAAGGCCTGAGACACATTGTCGTAGGGCTTCTGGTGCTTTGATATAGAGATTCGCCGACGTGCCAGGCTTCGAATGCTTTCTACTTGGAGGTTCATGGGTAGTTATAAGTGGGGTGGAGTCATAAGTCCCCTAATAAGGGTTATAAGTATAGTTGCCCTACTTACAACCCTACTTATAACTACCCATGAACCTCCAAGTGCTGAACCTGCCCACAAAGAGCTCACGACCCGAAGAAGCGAAGCCTAGACCTGCCAGCGTCCGGCTTGAGGCCGAGCTTTCAGCTCTGGACTATACCACCCTTAGAACCACAATAAGAACAGTATATCTGACATTCTCTTGGGTTCTATATGAACAGATACAATGAAAAGAGTTCCTAAGGAGACTATAGGGGAATCCTGAACTGATTCCCATCGCCCTAAAGCTGAAATGCCAATCGCCTGCCCAGTGGTGGCAGGAGCAGCCACAGGTAGCACGAACGCCTGAACGGAATGCTCGACCCTTTGAAGCCTTCTTCTGGCTGTTCTAGTGGGTGCGCAAAAAACCTGCTTCAGAATATCCGCTTGTGGGGGATGGGGTCTGGGCTTGTGGCTCTCAGGGTTTGTGTCTATCTGCTGCCATCACCGCCGAGTAGTTACTTCAAGGACCGGTGTCCTGGCCTGCATGCTGCAGCTGAGATAACAAAAATGGGAAGATACTGCGCTGAAATCGGCTGCCACGCGCAGTCTTGGTCTGGAAACGCAGAACTGCTGGTTCTGGTCTATTCGACTGCCTTAGCTAGCGTGATGCTTCTGCTTGCTTGTGCTCTGCTTTCGCACAGGCAGGCGTCGTAAGGAGTCGTCGCATGAGCAGGCTTTTGCGCTCTGGCAGATATCTGCATGTGTCATTTTGCGAACGATCATGCTGCTGAGCCCCAAAAGCTAATCGCGGCAAGGCCGTCACTTGTCACCATGCCAGCTGACATGCACACTCAAAACGAGACCGATCTTGAATTGTCTGTCCGCAGTACCCGAAGCTTGGAACAGCAGTCCTGCTGCCAAGCATTCTCTGCGTGGAAAATGAAATACTTTTCCCTGGTTCCAACACCGAGAAGGTGCACACCATTCCTCTCCCTCAGCCCAAATCCGAAAAGGATTCAAGATCGATGACCATCTCTCGAGCTTCCCCCAGCAGTCCGCCCTGAATAGTACATTCCAAGAGCAGGTCTGCGACGAGAGGCTGCGAGCATGCTACGGGGAGACACGAGTTCCGCTGGATTCTCAATCGAGGCTTCGCAGCTCTAGACTCAAACCACGTCACCGGCGATCAAACAGTGGCGAAGGCACGTCCTGTTGCCTCCTTTGGGCCGTGCTTTGCCGAAAGCATCCTGGAAGCTCACTCTGCACAGGTGAACTGAACGTGGACTTGTCCATGATAAAGCAGCAAGAAACCGATCGCCTCAAGTTCTGTGACATCAAAGACGTCGCGTCAGCCGGACATGGCTTAGGACTTTGAGGTGTCTGGCCAACGCCGAGGAAGAAAACGAACCCGCAGATTCCGAGATCTCGCGAACCCGAAACTCGAAGGACTCGCAAGCCCCAGGAGTCCTTTGGCTCGGCTTGTTGCGGCCTGCCGAGACTGGGGCTCGTCTACGCGCGCACTACAGAAGCCACAGCGGCAATGGCCAATAAAAGAACTACGAGGCCGATGACGCTTGGGGCCGGGTTGGTTTTTGGATAGCTCTGACAAGGGGTGTCGGGGATGAAGGCTTCATGGTCTAAGGCTTCCAGGCGGTTCCTGTTCAAAGACGCAAGCGGAGCTGGGACCATGAATTCGGCAACTCTTCTGCATCTCGGACCCGGAACACTTCCTCCCTCTGATACTAATTTGGCCAACTGGCGCAGACGGCGGCGCCTCCTCGTTTCTGCAAGATTCGCAGGCTTCTCCGCTTTCTCTGCCCCTGACACAGAAAGTGAGCTGGGACTGGTACAGGCGCTAGGTAAACATCCTAGGCACTACCCAGAGAGTCCAATGCCCGTTAACTCTTGGAATATAGCTTATAAATCAGAATATGAAGCCTTAAGGTATATTCTTGAATTATGAGGGCTTGGGCTCTCTCGGTACAACATTCTTCTTAACACGCTCATGCCGGGAGGCATTTTCCAAGCTCGAGTCTGCCGAGACGTTTCTGGCACAAGGTTTCTTGAGGCTGGGAGGGGTGGGTCCCTGCGGTTCAACTCTGTGAGTCGGGCGTGAGTCGGTTTGTATCCTGGTCTGAGATTATGACATAAGGGAAGCTGGATGTATAAGGACTCATGCAACTTCAAGCAACCGCTCAGGTTCGAGAGACTCACGAGCAACCCATTGAATCACCTGAGCCGGACAACAAAGCCGTACTGTACGAAGTGCTGGAATCGCGGTAGGAATCCCTGTTGATGTATGCAGAGGCCTGTTTTTGATGGTTTCAATCCTGCAGTATCCATTGTAAAACATACCACCTTTCCTGCCGATTCAGGCACACGACATAACTTGCAAAATCAAACGCGCAGAATTTTGCGAAACGTCTGCTCTGCACAGCAAAAGGATGGAAGCCTCAAAAGACACCGTTCAGCAAATGATAGGGCGTCATCTATAGTTGTTGGTTCCCATTGCTTCTGGTGAAAGAGTTATAAGTCTTGGGGTATGTTACCATTACTCTTAGACCCTAAACCCTAAACAACTTTAGGGAAAGTTACCTTTAGTGAGGGGAACGCGAAACCCTAAACAACCCTAAACCGTAAACCCTAAACCCTAGAGAGAGGGCGGTAAGAGACCCTTATTGGAAGCTCCAAGGACGCGTTCCCCGGGGCCTTCGGCTTGGGACTCGCCGTCCACAGGACCCGACGCGACGAGCTCGGGGAGAGGCCTTGGAGCTTGGAAGGCCTTTGGCCTTTGTCTTTGCTTTTTGTTTTTTGAGGGCTCTTCTCTGTCGGGGGTATAGGGTTCGAGGTATCGGATTTCGGGTTTGGGGTTTCAAGGTATCAGGTTTGGGCTGGCGGTTTTGCAAGTTTTGTTTCGGTTTGGAAGGATGCGGCCTATCCGAAGCAGATGGATCTAGCTGCTCAATCTACAGTCGACCGGAGAGTTTATCCGGTATAAAACCTTATAGCATTCGACCCTGATTTCTGGGCATGCCATGTGGCCACAGCTTTTGAGATTCGCTCTAACAGATCTTCTGGCATTCTCCGGCATTCTACCCAGAGAGCCCAATACCGATAAGGAATGTAGCTTAAATCATAATATGAAGCCCCTAGTGATTTAAGGTATACTCCTTAAGCAAGGGGTATTGGGCTCTCTGGGTATCTGGCACGAGGCCCGTTGTAGTTGGACCCGCTCGGGCCGGCACCCCGAAGGCAAACCCAATCGGGAGAGTCGCTGCCTTGCCGAGATGCTGTGGATTCTCCAAGAGACTCCAATATCCTTTAATTAAGGAATATACCTTAAATCATATTAGGGATCCTACCATAATTTAAGGAATATTCCTTAATTAAGGGGTATTGGAGTCTCTGGGCTATCCTATATTTTATTAGGTATATTACACGGCACTATGCTCTATTGAGCTCTGCTCTGCTCTATTCCGAAAATTTTTGTCCTCCTCTGGTGCATTGTATTGCAATATACCAGATTTTTCATACTGGTTAAGGATCTAGGCTTTGGAATCTAGCACTTCGCTCACACTGAGATTCAACTGCACTTCAGTGACCAGCCTGCTCTTTCTCGTAGCCTTTTCGGCCACATGCTCCAGGCGCCTTGCCAAAGCCATGATAAACTTTAAATTCAACGTTGGTTTCCGTATTTTTTAGGTCCACAAGGTTGCGAGCAATCGGTTTCAGAGTTTTGGAAGCTGCCAAACCCGGCGCTTTCAATAACACATGATACAAACGGATCGACGCCCAGGATAAGTCAACGCCCAAGAGGCACACGAACGACATCTTCGACTCTTGACGGCGATGCTCGTAGCCACCCCGGGCTCTGCATCGAGTCTTCAACCAGAGCAGTGGTAGGCATCATAGCAAGAAGGGTAGCTACGAAGACCTGCAAATGACATTAGCAAGCTAAACAGGACTGCCGCCCAGACCGAGTCCTGAACCTGAGTCGTGAAACCCTGAAGCCGGGCTCCACGTTGCCAAACGCTGAAGACTTGAGGCATCTGCTTCCGTCAACCCAAAACCCTCTAAGAAAGCGGCAGGGGCCCCTGCAGCAATCCGTATCTCTGAAATCCCCAAACACTTGAAAGAACCTAAATCCTAAAGCCCTAAACCCCAAGTAGACCCCTAGAGATCCCTTATAAGCCTCTCTAAAGCACACCTTAAGCCCCTCGACCCTGAACCAACAAAGCGAGCACCGAAAGTGCCCGAGGAGCCCCCGCGCCTCGCTTCAATAGCTCTCAAGGCCGCCTGGGTTTTGATCGGCATGGGAGTGCCTGGGCCGACGCGAACAGCTCGATTAACAATACTTGTATATGCAGAAGTAATGATAATTCCAGAAAGTAAAAGAAAAGAGCAACAATAACAATTATAATAACAGAAGTACTGCTCAGGGCAAGAAAGGACACAAGGCGGGATCTCACATTGGAATTTGTTGGGGTTTATATCGGGCTTGGTTTTGAAATGGTCGCTGTAAGGGTTATTATATGCGGGTTTAAATCAGGAATTCTCCAAATTCGGATGCGTTGGGCCACCCATGTGGGTTTGGACATGAGTTCCCCAGGTCCAGGATTGAAGTCGGGCTGGTGGCTAGAATGTCTCTGTGTGGATTTTGATTCGGTGCTTTGTTCAATCCATCCATACCAACCCTGTGTGGCAACTTTCACATGCAACCTTTCGCACGTCCAGGCTGTGGCAAGCCTGTCGATCAGCAACTTGGAACCGTTCTGGAATCCGACGGCACAAATGGCCAGCGCCTATAGCTAACAGAGCCCCACTCCACCAAAAAATGTTCCTCTGCTGCCGGGCCACGTGCAAACCGCGAGGTCGCAAAGCCGCAGCATCTGGCGAAGGGTCGCCTGGGCGCTAATCCGTGAAGCCGAAACCCAATGACCCAATGATGGTCTAAGGTCTAGATCTCTCTTGCCTTTCTTAGAGGCTCGTGTGATGCTATAGCTTTGGGCAAACACATTGCAGGAATCGAAGGTCCTGGAATCTGATGAGTAGTTCCTGTCATACCGCGCATACGTACCGGATCTGGGGCACAGTCGAAGCTACTCCTCTAGATTCATGTAGGGTGAAGGTGCTGCGTTGACCAACAGACCAAGCCAGAAGCCAAAATCACCGCATCCGTGGCCTCAGACAAGAAATGAATAAAAACACAAACCAAGAAACACTAAACATACATACATATATATATATATATGTATATGTGATAAACGTACACGAACTTGTATATGTATCTGTGTACGTATAGGTATATGAGTACGTATGTATGTATGTGTGTATGTATGTCTATATTTCTGTAGCGATCGGTCCGTCAATCTACCTAGGTGTCTATCTATCTACCTATCTATCTGTCCGTCTATGCATCTATCCATGTATCTATGTATCTATGCATCTATCTCTAGCGACCTATACCTTGTATAGGTACAGAAGCACATGCACATGCACACATCAGCAAGTCTGCACACCCGGACCTACTTTGTACGCATACACAA